ATATCTGATGATCGACTTTTTTAAATGAAACCAGAGAGCGTTGACAGAGAGGAGAAGGTAGAAATGACTCAGCCTGTAACTGAAAATGTGGATGGAGGACAACAGAGCTGCTTCATGGAAGAAGAACCCCAGCTTAGCCTATTAGCTTTAGCCCCAACACTATCACCATATAGATGTATTAGCTCAGTGCTACACATTCTCCTCTCATCACTGAGGTCCTCCATCCACATGACAGAGGGGAACACAAAAATAACTCAGCCTGTAACTGAAAATAAGGATGGAGGACCTCAGTTTAGCTTGACTGTCGCGCTAGCACAGAGCTAATACATACAGTATAAGGCAATATAGCGTGGGCACTAGCGCAAAGGCTAACAGGCTAAGCTGAGGTTCTTCCATGAAGCAGCTCTGTTGTCCTCCATCCATATTTTCAGTTCCAGGCTGAGTCATTTCTACCTTCTCCTCTCTGTCAACGCTCTCTGGTTTCATTTAAAAGAGTCGATCATCAGATATTGTCCAAGATTAACCTTCAGGGTGGATATAGCTCGCGCACACCGATGACCTATCCACATCATCATTTACCCAGAATGCTTTGTGTGTAAATGAAATGGCTCAGTCCGTGTTAAAATATATTTTTCAAAATTTACAAAACTAAACATCCTACAGTATTTTTACAGTCTCTATTTTACAGTTAAAATATATGTTTATCAAATAAAATCTAATGTTACAACTAATCGGGGATCTCTTTAAGAGTAGTATTAGTATTGACTAATATTAAATTCCTTCATGGCAGACAGTGTCGGTTTGCCTTGAAAATCTATGATCTATGAAAATCATTTTTTAACTTAAGAAAGCACTGAGTGTGTGTACATGATCACTCATATTTCTGGAAGATCTATATTTACTCAGGTGTTAGTGGTACAGTCTGTAACTTAGGACAGATAGTTTTTGATTCATGAATTATTTTATGACATTGTATACATGCATAATGAAAAGGTCACACTTTTAATGATTTATGAGTTTATATGGTGGAACAATCACAGATGAAGCAGAATCTCATCAGAATTATAAGAACTGATGAAAACTGAACTCCTCATGTTGAATGTCTGCTAAGCACGACAGTAAACTGGTGGCAAAAATTCTCATTAATTTGCACAAATTGCCTGTATGTCATTCTACTAAAACTCTAGTTCAGCGCACACATATGGAGCAAAATTGGGGCTATAAAATGTGTTAAAATTTTACATTTTTTTGTGAAACAGAAAATATTTGAACTGAGGGAAAAGAAACTGAAATACATGTCAGATTCTAGGGTATTTCTTAGTTCAGACTTTTTGTTTTTCCTCATTGTAGTTTGAAACTTCTGGCCCTGTCTTGGCGTGGGGGTGGGGCCTCAGATGACACTGGGTTTGGAATCATGGCTGACAGGTCAGCACAGGCTGGACATGTGATGTGTCACATCAAGTCAAATTCAGTCAAAAAGGACCTAATCACATATTCAGATTTCTGGCTTTTAAAACTGAATTTTGATATAATGAGCAGTTCCATATAAATGACTTAAATTGTTTTGTTAATCATGATAGTTCATTAATATTTGGTCTGAATCCTGTTTTTATGTATTTTAATGAGGACTTTTTGATGTTATTATCAAGAGGAAACCTCAAATAGTATTTCAATATTGAGATTCCCAGCTGGAAATAAAAAAAAGCTTTACTAGCTCATAGCTCTGTATTGTTTGTGATGTTTTATTTTAATAGTTGCAATATGTGAAGCACTTTGGCCAACGGCAGTTGTTTGTAAATGTGCTCTATAAATAAAGTCTCTATGCTTTGAGACTTTATCCTCATTTTAAAGTGAAGGAATTGAAATGCGTTGAAGACATCATCAATGTACTGTGTTTATGTGATTGTCAATATACTGTATATATTTCACTGAGATTTTTGTTGTGTGCTGACATAAGCAGATTATATTAAACACAGAATAATAGGATATTGATAATGTTGATGATAATGATTGTTGATGTTTTAAAGACAATTTAATTTGATTTATTGTTTCTTTGAATTGGGACAAAAAAAAATAAATATAAACGCCAGTGTTCTTAAATGCAATAGCTAGGAATATTTTGCCCAGCCACTATTAGTTTCAAATCATTTTTTTTGCAGTTTTATACAGTATATATATATATATATATATACTTTATTTAACAAACATTATGCCTTAATTTAGCTCCAGTAGTAGTTTATAAACAAGAAACAATTTCATAATTAACTTGTCAGATGATGCTAAAACACTGTCTGAGTACTGCTGTGCTTGTAGCAGTTTGAGAATCAAGGCATTAAATGAATGAAGGTTCACACAAAATCACCATGAAAATGTGTGTGTGTGTGTGTGTGTGTGTGTGTGTGTGTGTGTGTGTGTGTGTGTGTGTGTGT